ACCCTATGTACAAGAGCCCTAAAAGCTGTTCTATCCTGTGCCAACCTCGCTGTCTCAAACACTTTCAATCTCATCGAGGGCCTTCCTCTCCTGCGCCGTCCCTCCACTCTCCCAAATATGATGTCCCTTTCCAAGCACCAGTCCCTCCTTGCAACATGCCCAAAATATGTCAGACGAAGCTTCAGAATCCTTGATTCCAGGGAACATTCTGGCTTCACCCTCTCCAGGACAAACCTGTTTGTTCTCCTAGCAGTCCATGGTATATTTAACACTCTTCTCCAGCACCACAACTCAAAGGCATCAATTCTCTTTCTATCATCCCTATTCACTGTCCAACTCTCTGATACATAGCATATAATTACAAAGACTATAGCCTGGATCAGGCGCACCTTAGTCTCCAGCCTGACGTTGTTGCTCTTTGGGACTCTTGAGAGGTCCCTCACAGCTGACTTTCCCAATGCAATTCATCTCCTGATTTCCTGGCTCCTGTTACCAAGAGTGTTGACTATGGAACCAAGTAAACTAAAACTGTTAACTATCTCAATGTCTTCACCATCCATACTGATGCTGCCAATTGTCCCATAGGTGAGAATCTTTGTTTTCTTGATGTTGAGCTTCAATCCATATTGAAGACTGCAGTCCTTGACCTTCTGTAGCAAGCGCTTCAGGTCCTCCTCAGTTTCAGCGAGCAGGGTTGTGTCACCTGCATAATGCAGGTTGTTGATGACTCTTCCACCAATCCTGATGCCACCTTCCTCCTCTTACAGCCCAGGGTCTCTGATGATCTGTTCTGCATACAGATTGAAAAGGTATGGAGACAAAATACATCCCTGATGGACCCCTTTCTTTATTTTGATCCATCCAGTGTCTCCCTGCTCTGTTATGAGAATGCCTTTTGGTCCAAGTATAGGTTTCACATTAGCACAATCAAATGTTCTGGGATTCCCATTCTTCTCAAAGTCAGTCATAGCTTGTTGTGATCTACACAGTCAAAAGCCTTTGCATAGTCAATGAAGCACAGATAGACATCCTTCTGGTATTCTCTGCTTTCTGCCAAGATCCATCTTACATTAGCTATAATATCCCTAGTACCACAACCTCTTCTAAATCCAGCCTGCACATCTGGCAGTTCTCTGTTGACATATTGTTCCAAAGGTTTTTGGATAATTTTCAGCAGAATCTTGCTTTCATGTGATATCAATGATATTGTTCAGTAATTTCTGCACTCCGTTGGGTCACCTTTCTTTGTAATGGGAACAAATATCAATCTCTTCCAGTCAGTTGGCCAGCTGGCTGTCCTCCAGATTTCCTGGCACAACTTAGCACATCCAGGGCAGCGTCTGTTTGTTGAAATAAATCAATTGGTACTCAGTCAACTCCTGGAGACTTGTTTTTTGCCAATTCCTTCACAGCAACTTGAACTTCCTCCTTCATCACCATAGGTTCTTGCTCATATGTTATTTCATGAAATTCCTCTGCGTCAGCTTGTCGTGTCCTGTAATTCTTCAAGTTTGTTTTTTTATCCATTGAAGAGTTTCAACCACTCTTCTTTTAAATTCTGTGTCAGAAAATTCCATCAGACTTTCTGGCTTTAGGAAAGCCACTGATACTGTGTCACCTTTTGGGGGTGACATCTTGCTTTACTCTTTTGTATTGTGTGGGATAGCTTGCTTTCTTCGAGACATTGATATGTCCTTGGTGTGATAACAATATTTGAGAGATCAGTTGGGCAGCTACCCCACTTGTGTATTTCTCTGAACTTTTGACTTCAGGGAAATGTCAGTTCAGAGCCTGTGAGAGCAACCTCTTGTTGGTAAGACAGGTCAAGGTGCTCCCGATTAAAGGCAAGTTGATTGACCAGATGTGTAGGCACCAGTGTGGAGCCAAATTGGGTGAGGTAGGCATAGGGTTGGAGTGATCACAAGGGCAGGTCAAACACGTGGGGGACCTCATTTGTATCTCAGCTGTCTGGGTGTGCTCATGATTGGGATCCCTACTCAAATTCCTGCTGTTCGTTTCCCCACCAGTGGTTTTCACTCAGTGGCTCCTGCCCAGTGTCATTTATGCAGCTGCCCTCACTCAGCAACCCCTGCCCAAGCAGGGTCCAGGGTCCAATGGGACCTGAAAAGTCAAGGTCAAATTCCCAGCAACCCACTAGCCTCTGGCTGGTCTGCAGAGTCCACAAAAGTTCAGACAGATTACCCCTGGCTAGCTCATTCCTGTGCAGTCAGCGTGGCCCAAGAGAGCTCAGCCAAATTCCCCACCAGTGGGCACACCCTCAGGTGCTCTTCGAGTTAATTGGCAGTGCCCCAGAAAACCCAGTCAGGATCCTACTGCCCTTTCTCCTGACAGATTAGTCCCACAATAGCTCTGCTGGTGGCTCTGGGCAATGACTGGATCCATGGTGTGGCTTTGTGTTCCTGTAGCTCCAAAAGGACTGCTGCAACATAAGTTCTGATTCGAAATCCTACTGTCCACGGCTCGTCACACTGGTTGGTTTCTGTGCCGCATGAAGGACTCTCTAGTGGTCCTTGGGCACCGCTGGGGTTGCAGGGCTGTTGCAGGGGTGGAGGCTATGGTTGTGGAACCATAGGGGAGGGGTGAGGGGGAGGAAGCACAGGGCTGTGGCGGGGGGGCACGCTGGAGCATGGGATTGGGGGTGGGCCGCAGAGTGGTCATGTGGTGGCGGGCTGTCACTCCTCTGGGGTCACACAGCTGCTGGGGCCAGGATGGTTGCTCCTCCCGGGTCTTGCAGCAGCTGGCAGGCAGTTGCTCCTCTGGTATCTTGTAGAGGCTGGGGGCATTTGGTTGCTCCTCCGGAGTCATGGTGGCAGGAAATTGCTCCCTAGTTGCTCCTGGTGGGTAGGTTCCACAGTGTCTTGGCTGGTGTCTTTTGGCTGAGACTCAGCTGTCCTGTGTGTAGTTCAAATTCCAGCTCTCCAGCTGCCTATTATTTATTGAATGTGTGGATGATTTAATGAAATGGTGACTGAATTAAAATCAAAACCATTATTCATAAAAATAGTGACTCTTGAAATTAAAAGTAAATTTAATTAATAAATAGAAATTAGTACTCTTACAGCAAATCATTTTATCTATATATTGATAGATCTATTCAACTGAAATATTTACTTAAATAAAAGGTCTAAAACTGTTTAATTGGGGGGGGGGAATTTATAACAAAATGGAGTGTAGAACTGTAAAGTCAACTGGGAGAAGCTGCCTGACTCAGGGCAAGTTGCCAGGAGTGTGGCCTGTAGGTTTTGTCTACAGTGATTATGAGGAAAACCGCACAGGCTGGTCCAAACTCCACCCTTCATAGGGAGTCGATGGCATGTTCACTTGCTACAGGACGAGCTAATGAACACCTCCTTCAGGGCCACTCCTCCCATTTTACAACACTTCCCGAAGGCAAATTCAGAGAAAAGGCACTTTCTTTTCTTTCTAGCTGCCCAAACAACTTGGACAGGAATTCAGACATACTAAAGAAGAGAAGAAAAAAGGTACCAAAGGAGGGGAAACTGTAAAGTGCTAGAAGGAGGATGCTAAGATTGGTGATAGGAGCACTCTATAACTCATATCAAATATAACTGAAAGAAGAATTGCATATGATTCAAATAGATTTTTTTTCCTTGGGAATCACAAAACATAGTTCTTGGCATCTAAGTTCATTTTCTTTTCATATCAAAGTGTTTTTATCTTAAAAATAAATGCAGAAATGGGGTGGGACATAGATATAGTCAGGAGTTGAGAAGAAGGTTAGAAAATGTCCCTTTCTTAGGAGAGACAAGAAGATAGGGAGGCAGCTAGTAGGGAGAAGTTGCTTTTAGAGAAATGTGCTTAACTTTCTTTATTAACTGAGAAGGTGAAGAATAGTATTAGGAGAACACACAAGGGTGACAAAGAGACATAAAGAAAAGTAGACATTCTAGATCTCCTTTCAGCATTAGTTTCAGCCTCTTCTGTCTTTAAGTTTTATGTTAAAATAAAAATAATGAATAGATATCTAGAATACAGAAAACTAAATCCTCTCTAGCTAATTAATTATATAGATATGTGCATATAAATGTTCCCTATATAAAACATAAGTATGCATTAATGAGATATCAATTAAATAGAGAATGCATTACATAGAAAGCAGTTTGTGGATGTGAATCTCCTTTGCTTTTTCTCTTGTTCATTCCTATTGACATAAAGTAAATGACAAAAAGCTGGACGCAAAAAAAGATATACATTCATTTAGGAGGGTTGACATAATGCTTCTGGGAAGACAAAACATTTAGAAATTAAAGAGAAATGCAAAAAAGTCTCTGTGACCCTTTCCTTATCATGCTCTCCTGTGCCATTGAGTTGGTTCCAACTCAGAGCAACACTATGTAGAACAGAACAAAACACTACCAAATTTTGTGCCATTCTCATAATCTTTTCCCTATTTTGGCATGATTTTGTTATTGGTTTGCATATTATAATTCATGGGAGATCTGGTGGTCAAGTGGCAACTAGCTGTGCTACAATCCAGAAAGCATGCAGTTCGAGTCCACTTGCTACGCTGGAGAAGGATATGTTATCTCCTCCAATGGGATTAACTGCCTCTGAAAAGCTGACAGAGGGTCAGCTATGGGCTAGTTTCTGTAGTGCATTTGATAGCACAGAACAACAATAATTCATATGCATTGTGTTTCATTCATATCCATCATGTATTATACGGTTTTATACTATTTCATATACTCACTCATATACATCATGTTTTGTATAATTCATTACTGTCATCTATGTCTCTCTCACAATCTATTTAAATCTACTGCTTCAGTTAAAAAAAATATTTAGATGACTAAAATGAGTTCTAGTCCGACAAAAAATAATATTTTGATTCCAAATTTAACATTACTTTCTTGGCTCAAAGTGTCATAATCCAAAATTACGTTTTGTATTTTGTACTTTGTATTTTACATTGTAATAGTGTTGTTGGAAAATCCCTCTGGACCATTCCACAGCTGACCATGGTCAAGAGAGTGGCCATCATTGGTGCCGGGGTCAGTGGTCTGGCCTCTATCAGAACCTGTTTGGAAGAGGGACTGGAGCCCATCTGCTTTGAGAGAAGTGATCATGTTGGGGGCCTGTGGAAATTCTCGGTGAGTGGACATTTTTGCAGAAAAGAGAGAAATAGGTGGGATGCAAACAAGAGCAGACTATTGCAACAAGAGCTTCCAAACCAGCTGTTATGACATTGTCATCTCCCTTAGGTTTGGAATCCAAGAAGCATAATGTCAAGTTGATGTTGTTATTGATTGCCTTTGAGTCGAGCATGACTCATAGTGATCCTATGTGCAAAAGGCCTGAAGCCCCTCCACAACTATCAACATTTATCAAAGTTCATAGAGTTTCTGGAAGCATGTTTTTTTAGGAAGTGGATGCCACTTCCTAATGTCAAGAGCAGGTTGAAAAGTATGTTATTTTCAAGTCAGAAGTAAACCAGGTAACAGGCTCGCTTTAAAAATCTAAGCTCATATACAGAACACATCCCTGATAAATTTATAAAAATTAATAAAATCATTCCTTCTAAGTCAAAGAGCCATGCCCCAAAATTAAAATGTTATGATTTGATATTTAATTCTAGAGAGAGGAAAAATCATCTATTAAAATACATTTTCTTAGAAGGACATGATTTACTCATTTTAAAAAATGACTTCTAAAAAAAAAATTACTTCTTCAGTCTTCTGTGGAAGTTACCAAATCTCTGCTGATTCCCATCACGCCTCAACTTACTTGACAGTTATCAGATGTACCTAAATAAGGACAATCTGATTTAAAATGTGTAACCTTCTTTTGCTTGTATGTATTTGTAATAGAGACCACATCAGTAGATTTGTATATGTGTACCCATGGAATAATTTCCCGTGTGAATTGACAACCACATGAGTGGGGTTTAGGGTCCACTTTGTGTCTCCAAACCCATCAGTGTCCCAACCTTAAGACCATCTGACTCTCCCTACCACATTCTATTTTTCTTAATCAGATAAACCTATTCTATACACAGAAATTCAGAAAGATCAGTAACATGCTTCTAAGTGACTGTTTCTTTCTTACTGCAAAATCAGTATTATGCCATGTACCTCAATGAACAAAATTTTAGGCCTGAATTGGCACTGAAATCAAGAAGTTTGGGAATGATAGAATGTGTGATTAATGTATTTTGCATGTGGGATGAGCATGAATTTTTGGGGGCCAGAAGGACTGCGGTAGATTGAATAAAGACCATTGGCCTAGTGGTAAGGAGTTGTGCGGCCAACCTGAAGGCATGTGGTTTGAATCTCCCAGCTGCTCTGAGAGAGAAAGATAGGTAATCTCTAATCTCCTTCCATCATATGATTTGTTGTCTCTAAAAGTCCACCAGAAAGTCAGCTGTGGGTCAGTTCTAACTCAGTGGTACTTAACAACAACTAAGTTATCAGGGGGCTCTCTGGTGGCATAATTCATAGACAGCTACACAGCGAGCACAAAAGTAGTGCCTCTCAGGCAGTTCAGACCCACTGGGAGAGACAAGAAATGGATTCTTCCCTAGAGCATCCAGAGGAAGCACAACCCACCAAATTCTTGCTCTCATTGACTTCCACTGACTCCCAACTCTTGGTCTTCAGAACTCTGAAGAAATTAATTTGTTGTTTTAAGTCACCAAGTTAGTGGTAGTTTGTAATAGGATCTTTGGGAAGTTAATTATTCAGTTTCCTATTTTATAGTTTGAATCCACCATCTGCTCCAGGGGAGAAAGCTGGGCCATCTCCCATGGAATTGATGCCCTCTGAAAACCTGTTGTAGGAGTCAGTTCCAACTTGACAGCTCACAGCAACTATTTCACTACCATGAAAGGAGACTCTTAAATGTGGTTGTGAATTGCCAAATCTCTCAAAAATCTATAAAACAAAATCATTTTCTGGAACCAGTGTCAACTCTGAGTTCTGTAATCCCTCATCAGAAATTTCTAGTGTTCAGCTCTCTCAATTAGGAAATAGCAATTATACACAGTGATTCTGTTATTTCATCAGAGGAAGACCAATGAATGTGGAAAAGATGGGTGTAGCTGCTGTAATTGTTTTATTTCTTTTTTAAATGAGGGAAATGTTTTTCTTTGACACACCTTTTGGTGTTTCCTTGGCTCTTTAAACCTGAAAATGGTATTTTTAAAAATCTGATAGCTCTTTACTTGATTTTACATTTTGTGAGGTTTATGGTAACTTTGGCCAAATAGTAGCTTAGCTACCATTGCTTCCTGTGTTTTGGTCTGTCATTAAACAGTTCCCTACAAGGGCCTTCTCCCTCATATCTTCTGCAGATATGAGATGGTGGCTCCCAAGATGGAAATTTTGGGAAATTTCTGTTTCTATAAAAATTTTTCATAAACAGTGTTGAATAACACCAAGCATTGAAAACTAGAAAACCTCACAGTTCTATTCTTTAATTAGTCTATACTTTTTTAATTCTTTAGTCTGGTTTCTTCCAACATAAAATGGAAGTTACCTTTGTCTTTTAATCACCTTCCCAAGTGAATAAAATTATCTCTTTCATAAATCTATCATTCACTTTGTTTCATGCAGTCAGATTTGGAAACTGTCAGGCTGAGTTTGTGTGAGAAATAAAACCAGTGAGCGTGTTGTCCATCTTTACTCCCGTCACAATTCAGTTTCTCAGGAAAGACTTTGACCTGCCGTTTTGGTCTTGTTTCTGTCCATGTTTCAGATATGCCAGAACAATGAAAAATGCCTCTGAGGTTCTCTCTGCTTCCCCAGTATAAAAATAGTCCTGGGTTTATCATTTAACCAATATATATGGGTGGGAAAGGACAGCAGCTATTTCCCCCAAAGAAAATCTGAAATGCTGCTTAAGAAAGAGTTTAATGAATGCTAGGTGGTCTTAAGTGGAAAAATGCCCATTTAAAAGTTTTTATATCTCCTTTAGGTACTCTTTTCCTTTTTTACTATTCAGTTTGATATTGTGTGCCTTTGAGTCAGAACTGACCCATAGTTGACCTTCTAGTGGGTTTTCAGAGTGTATAAATAGAATGGGAGGAGACTGCCCTTGTTTCTCCTGAGGAGCAACTGGTGGTTTCAAACTGTGTGCCTTCCACAGGAGCAATGATTTTGCAAATTACAACCTAACCTGGGAGGTACTGAAGGGCATTATGCTGAGTGGACTAATTCAATCCCATAAGGACAAACACTGTATAACACCATTATTGTAGAACGAGTATGAGGATCCACGGGGGACAGGCTGGGGGGCAGGGCACGCGTGTGGTGCTAATCATAGGGTTGCACAATTCAGTGGGTGGGGGGGATGAAGGAAATGGAAAGGATCATTTGTGGAAAACAATGTAGTCAAACAAGCCAACTGTGTGCCTCTGGGACCGAGAGCAGGTTCTTACCACTAAGCCATTACAAAATAGTACTTGTTACTATTTTCTGTTCTCTGACTTTATTCTCCCTTTGTTCACCTGAGTCTCTGATTACTTTGCTATTACCTGGCAGAAAATCTGCAAAAGCCTTTAAAGCTTTGCAAAAACCACAGCATACCTGCAATTATATTAAGTAATCAAACAGTGTTAATAATGCTTTAGGAATGCATTTACTGATATGGAAAAAGTTTCCTTTTTATGTGAAAAATTCATTTACATGTGGTTACAGAATAACTAAAATATTAATAGAAAAGTTATCTTTGAAAAAAAAAGTTATCTTTGAAGAAAAGTATTACAGTGGATTGATATTGTCTTCTTCCTGTTTGCCTGTGCTTTCTAATTTTTGACAGTTTACATGTATTACTTGCATAAGAAAGAAAAGTTCAGTAAATTGTTCTATAAAGTTGAGCATGTCTAGGCCTGTTGTATTACACTTAATTGTTTTGTTTTAAAAAATACTATTTCACAGCCATGAAACTACATGTTAAATATGTTTAATACTAGTTCTCTTGACGAACCAGAATTAATCTCTGCTTCAATTTTGACAGCTCAGTGGTAGAATCCTCATCCTCATGAAGGAGGATCTGGTTCAAATTCCAGCCAATGCATCTCATGCACACCTACTTCTCATCTGTCGGGAGATTATGTGTTGGGTGTTGTCACTGCTAGTCAAAATGCTGCATCTCCAGGGGTTCAATTTCACAAGCTGATCCTCTGGAGAAAGACAGGTAGTCTCATTTGGTTAAGATTTACAGCCTCAGAAACCCAATGGAAAGTCGTCATAAGTTGGAATGACTCAATGACAGTGAATTTCATTTTGATTTGGATGATACTGAAGAAATTACAGAATATAACAACAGCCTTTATTAAACATGCACAAATATGTTTATGAAATATCCAAATATGCAAACTTTTTGTTTTAATTCATAGTCTGAGAAGTATGTCTCCTGTCTTAATCTATTCTTTGAGAATGTGAAAAACATGATCTCTAATGGTTGATGTGCAGACTTCATACATTCTAATAACTTTATTTCATCATCCTCTATTATTAACCATTGAGATGAATACATTTCTCCCAATTGCCCAAGTATCAGCCTATCAATATTACTGTAGTTATTATTCCTACTCAAACATAAGTGTGTCTATATTTCCTTCAAAAATAATATTTTATAAAAAGTGTTATTTTGTGAGTTCACATTCCTTTGAAGTTATATATCTTTTCAAAAATTTATCTTCTCACTTTACTGAACTTCCTTATGAATAAAGGCTAATTCAAAGAAATTCTATTTGGAAAAGGCTAGTGACATACTAGGTTAAGTTTCTGACTACTAACCAAAAGTCAACAGTTTAAACACATCAGCAACTCTACAGGAGAAAAATGGGGCAATCTCCCCCTATTAAGATGCACAGCCTTAAAATTCTTCTGAAAAGTAAAAATGAAGGAGGAGGCAAAGCACTCTCTGGTCTCAAAACATACTACACAGCTGTAATAACCAAAACAGCTTGATGTTCATACAATGACAGACAGAGAACAACAGAATAGCATTGAGAACCTAGAAACCAACCCATCTATCTACAGTCAATTGATATTTGACAAAGAAATAAGACCAAGAAAATGGAGAAATTAGAACCTCTTCAACAAATGGTGTGGGGGAAACTGGACATCTATCTGCAGAAACAGGATCCATATCTCACACCATATACAAAAAATCGACTCCAAGTAGATCAGAGACTTGGGGGTAAAATTAAAAACTATAAGGAGTATAAGAGAAAATGGAATCAAACTTAGAGGATCTAGCTTATGGCATAAATAGGCTTGCAAATACAGCCAGAAATGAGCAACCAAGAGAGGATGCAAGTAATGACTAATGGTATCTTCTAAAAATCAAGTTCCTGTGTGCATTAAAAAAAAAATCTATACGGTGAAAAGAAAGCCAACTGACTCGGGAAAAACATTTGGAAATGCCATCTCAGACAAGGATCTCATGCCTAAAGTTTTTAGAGCCTTCAAAAGAAAAAAAAGGCTGATAACCCAATATAACAAAATGGGTAAAAGTATGAAAAGAGTCTTAATTAAATAGAAGACATTCCAATTGCCAACAGACACACGACGAAATGCTCAAAATCATTATCAGAGAGATACAAACAAAACAAAAATGAGATACCATCTCCCTTTAGTAACAAAGTTTAGTGGAACAGAAAGCAATAAATGTTAAAGAGGAATATACTACTAATACAATACTGCTAAGAATACACCTTAATGAAATCAGAACTGAGATACGAACAGAGATGTGCATACCTATGTTCATAGCAGCATTATTCACAACAGCAAGGAAACAGAAACAGCCCAAATGTTCATCAGCATATGAATGGATTTAGAAATTGTGGTACATCCACACAATGGAATACAATGCAGCACTAAGGAGCAATGAGGTTATAAAATACATGGAAGAGTCTAGAGAGCATTGTGTTGAATGAAAATAACTAAGGACAAATATTGCATAAGACTATTGTAAAAATAGGAGGATAACTGAACTGGGGTGTATAAATGTTCAAAGCAGAATGGGAAAGCAGGAAGACGGAGGACAAAGGTGGAGGGAAATTATTAGCTTGGATAGCAGATGTTAGTAGGCAAATAGGGCAGGGGAAGGAATAGGAAAGATTCAATGGGGGCTTGAAAAGATGGGGTAATGATAGGCAGGGATCATTAGTAATTAGTTATATAAACTACAATGTATATGAATGATTGTATAAAGCACACTGTACATGAATGAAACACAATTCAAATTAAAGATTGTATAAACCACAATTTATACACATTAGTTTAAAAGCGACATATGATTGGGTATTATGGTTATGACAAGAGTCCAGAGTGAAGGTTGCATAGTGGAGTGTACTCGGCGATGGGTGGGATTGTATACCAATGAAAGAAGTCTTTCTTTTACTTTTCAAGAAAAAGAGCGAACTGAGGGGGAGAGGTAGGAAGGGAGAAAAATGCAACAACAAATGAATGGAGATCCAAGATCTATGTAAACGTCCATTAAAATAAAAAAAATCAAGGATAAAGAAAAGCAGGGGAAAAAATTCTATAGTAAAAACATTTTTCCAGATTCCTCAAAAAAAAAAACCAAAACCAAAACAACCCACATATACAGCTGTGGAAATCTGAAGAAGGGTGGCCACGAGTCGGAATTGACTCAGTGAAAGTGAGTGTGATTATTGGTTTTATTTGGAGCTGGAACTAAGCTTAAATATTCTGAAAAAAAATCCAAACCTTTTTCTCCTTGCAATTATACAGGACCATCCAGAGGATGGGAGGGCTAGCATTTACCGATCGGTTTTCACCAACTCTTCCAAAGAGATGATGTGCTTTCCAGACTTCCCTTATCCTGATGACTTCCCTAACTTTATGCACAACAGCAAGCTCCAGGAATATATCACTGCATTTGCCAAAGAAAAGAACCTTCTGAAATACATACAATTTAAGGTAGGTTTACCAATAAATTTGCCTTTGATACAACTGTGAGGACATTTATACTTATTGCTAGATTCTCATTTCTCCCTTTCAGTATCCTTTTCTTATTTGTCAACATTTTTGACATTGTGGCCATGTAGACTTTTTAGACCATAATACTATTAACTTAGAAATCACTTATTAAAAAAACAAAGAAATCACTTATAAAGAAATAAATACCAAATATCCCTTTTGATCCATTATGGATCAAAGATGAAATTACAATGTAAATTTTATAGTATTTAGAATTGAATGATAATTTGTAAGGAGTTGTGCTGTCAACTCAAAGAGAGGCAGTTCAAATGTCCCAGCTGCTCCAGGGGGGAAAGATAGGCTATCTCCCCCAGTGTGATTTCCAGCCACTGAAAATTCACTGATGGCCCTGGATGGGGTCAGATCTAACTTGATGGAACTTAACTACAACAACATATCAAAAGAAATAAATATCACCAGAATTACCTTACATCAACAAAATGCTTGCTTTTGGTCAGCTCATAACTATTCATTTTGCTATGATACTTCATAAGTAATGAAGATGTTATATTTATATGTTGTTGTTGTTGTTGTTGTTGTGTGCCATCGAGTTGCTTACGACTCATAGCGACCCTATGTACAAGAGCCCTAAATGCCGTTCTATCCTATGCCAACCTAGCCATCTCAAACACATTCATTCCCACCACTCCACTCACAGAATCGGTCCATCTCATTGAGGGTCTTCCTCTCCTGTGCCGTCCCTCCACTCTCCCAAGCACTCTCCAAGGACCAGTCCCTCCTTGCAACATGCCCAAAGTATGTCAGACAAAGATACAGAATCCTTGACTCCAAGAAGCATTCAGGCTTCACCTTTTCCAGGACAAACCTGTTTATTCTAGCAGTCCATGGTATATTCAACACTCTTCTCCAGAACCACTGCTCAAAGGTATCAATTCTCTATTCACTGTCTAACTCTGATGCATCAAATGTAGTTGTGAAGACTATACCCCCGGATCAGGTGTACCTTAGTCTCCAGTCTGATGTCATTGCTCTTCAAGTACTCTTGCATGGTCCCTCACAGCTGACTTTTCCCAATGCAGTTCATCTGATTTCCTGGCTGCTGTTACCAAGAGTATTGGCTGTGGAGCCAAGTAAACTAAAACTGTTAACTATCTCATTCTCTTCACCATCCATACTGATGCTGCCAATTGGCCCAGTGATGAGAATCTTTGTTTTCTTGATGTTGAGCTTCAATCCATATTGAAGGCTGCAGTCCTTGACTTTCTGCAGCAAGTGTTTCAGGTTCTCCTCAGTTTCAGCAAGCAGAGTTGTGTCATCTGCATAATGCAGGTTGTTGATGACTCTTCCACCAATCCTGATGCCACCTTCCTCCTTGTACAGCCCAGAATCTCGGGTTCTGCATACAGATTAAAAAGGTATGGAGACAAAATACATCCCTGACAGACCCCCTTCTTGATTTTGAACCACATAGTGTCTATCTCCTTTCTCTGTTCTGATGACTGCCTCTTGGTCCAAGTATAGGTTTCCCATTGGCACAATCAAATGTTCTGGGATTCCCATTCTTCTCAGAGTCAGCCACAGCTTCTTGTGATCCACATAGTCAAAAGCCTTGGCATATGAAGCACAGGTACACATTCTTCTGGTATCCTTTGCTTTCTGCCAAGATCCATCTAACATTAACTATAATATCCCTAGTACCACTATCTCTTCTAAATCCAGCCTGCACATCTGGCAGTTCTCTGTTGACATATTGTTCCAAACGTTTTTGGATAATTTTCAGCAGAAGCTTGCTTGTGATAGATAGTTATGATATTGTTTGATAATTTCCACACTCTGCTGGGTCACCTTTCTTTCGAATGGGAACAAACATCGATCTTTTCTAATCAGTTGGCCAGATTTCTTGGTCCAACTTAGTAAGCACATCTAGGGCAGTGTCTGTTGAAATATGTCAGTTGGTATGCCGTCAACTTCTGGAGCCTTATTTTATGCCAATTCCTTCAGAGCAATTTGAACTTCCTCCTTCGTCACCATAAGCTCTTGCTCATATGTTATTTCATGAAATTTTTCTGTGTCAGTCAATTCCTTCTGATACAGTGACTCTGTGTACGCCTTCCATCTTCTCTTGATACTTCGTGGATCATTTAACATTTTACCCAAAGTATCCTTAAGTATTGCCAGCTGTGGCTTGAATTTGTTTTTCAACTCCTTCAGCTTGAGAAATGCTGAGCGAGTTCTGCCTTTTTGATTTTCTGATTCTAACTCTCTGCACATTTCATTATAGCATCTTGCTTTGTCGTCCTGAGCTGCCTTTTGAAATTTTCTGTTTAGCTCTTTGATATCTTGGTTTCTTCCTTTAGCTTTGGCTTCTCAGCACTATAATGCAATACTAAGAGTCTTATCTGACATCCATTTTGGTCTTTTCTTTTTTATATTTATATACATATTACTCCAGAGATGAAAAGACAAGGAAAAATGGGGTTGCCTTTATAGTAAAAAAGTAATTTCTAGATCCATCTTGAAGTACAACATTGTGAGTGACAGGATTATATCCATACGCTTACAAGGAAGCCCAGTGAATACCACTATCATTCAGATATATGCACCAACAACCAGAGCCAAAGAAAAAGAAATAGATGATTTCTACCAACTT